AAAATTAGATGTTCCAGACTTTCTTCATCCTTACTACACAGCCAACAGCAAGAGGAAGCCTTAAGCCCTTTCAATTTCAAAATATCATCACAAGGTAGGAAATAATTCCACAGCCTCTAGCATAAAAAAGGACATTAAAAGTGTCAACCACTTCCCCCAAATAAATTTCCCCCACATAATAGGGTGCTAATGATACAATTGCTGGAAAATGTAAACTGAAAGTTTTTTTGAGGGAGCCTGTCTAGTGATCATTCTATCTCTTTTCTCCAGGATTGATTTTTAGTTTTCCTCACCCAATACATTTGCTCTTCAGTTAAGATGGTTGCCAACACAGTTAAGATGGTTCAGTTAAGATGGTTGCCAACAAATTGCAATTCCATTGATTTTCAGTCTAGAATTCCTTCACTTTAGTTCCAGAGTTTGGATTGGAGATGTCAATTCTTTCCCCATTCCAAATCCATTTACTTAGCCAGAAACTAATTTTTCCTTCTCCAAGTTTCCAAATAAACAGATCCTTAGCTTTATGCCTCACCTCCAAAAGTTTAGTCCACAGCCTGGAATCCCACACTTTCTTCTCAGCCAAGTTAGGGTGCACAGTCCTGCAGTATTTCCCCTTCGTAAACAAAGCCCAAAGACTATCTTGGGCTCTAAAATTTATCCAGAGTTTACAAAGATCAATGACACTGAGATGTTGAAAATCCTTAAAGCCTAATCACAACCTGGAATCCCACACTTTCTTCTCAGCCAAGTTAAGGTGCACAGTCCTGCAGCATTTCCCCTTCGTAAACAAAGCCCAAAGACTATCTTGGGCTCTAAAGTCCCCTTCTTCATAGTGAACATCTGAAGAGCATAGGAAGGGATAGAAGTTAAGATGGTTTTGAGAAGAGTGATCTTACCTTCATTTGATAGGAAGTAATTTGTCCAACATTGAAGCTGTTTCTGAATTTGATCAATTACCCCATTGAATTTAGTTTGTTTAGTTCTCCCTTTTATTAGTTGAACACAAAGATAATTGATAGGTAAACAAGCCAAGCTAAAACCGAGAAGAGTGATCTTACCTTCATTTGATAGAAAGTAATTTGTCCAACATTGAAGCTATTTCCGAATTTGATCAATTACCCCATTGAATTGAGTTTGTTTAGTTCTCCCTTTTATTAATTGAACACCAAGATAATTGATAGGTAAACAAGCCAAGCTAAAACCAGTGTGTTGTGCAATCCATTGCTTAATCTGTGGATAAGTATGAGAGCTAGCAAAAATTTGACATTTATGTTTGTTAAGATACATACCATATGATCTTTGAAAGTGTAAGTACTTGATCGAGAGAATTTACTACATTGTTGGTAGCCTTAGAGAAAATGATTATATCATCTGCATAGGACAGATGACTCACACTAATATTGGATCTGTGCTGATAGTCCAAATGTGGGGAAGATATAAGCATTTGATTAAGAAGCCTAGAAAGATAATCCATAGCCAAAATAAAGATAGTAGGGGACAAGGGATCTCCTTGTTTAATTTTCTTAGTGGCATTGAAGAAACCATGGTTCTTGCCATTAATTAAGATAGAATGGTTGTTGCAAATGAGCCATTTTCTAATTAGATTGACAAAGTCCCCAGAGAAACCCCTAGCATTCAAGGTATCCAAAATAAAATTCCAGTTAATTGTATCATAGGTTTTTTGAATATCCAATTTCATAATGAGATTGTTGCCTCTACATTTTCTATCCATATCCAGTAGAAGTTTCTGAGCCAAAAGGATGTTATCAGATATTTGCCTTCCTTTCACAAAAGCCACCTGATTCTTGTTGATTGGTTGTTGAAGATGAGGTTGGAGTCTGGTGCTGATAATCTTGCTGTATAATGAGATTGTTGCCTCCACATTTTCTATCCAGATCCAGTAGAAGTTCCTAAGCCAAAAGGATCTTATCAGATATTTGCCTTCCTTTCACAAAAGCCACCTGATTCTTGTTGATTAGCTGCTGAAGATGAGGCTGGAGTTTGGTGCTCATAATCTTGCTGATAACTTTAGAAAGAACATTAGTTAGGCTGATTGGTCTAAAATCTCCCCATCTTATCCTGCTGGAATTTTTTGGAATCAAGGTAATAACAGAAGCAGTAAAGTATTTAGGGGGATTAATACCTATAAAGAAGCTTTGCACAACATCAACAAAATCCCCAGAGATGATATTCCAAGTGGCTATAAAATTTTGCAGTGAAGCCATCAGTGTCAGCTACCTTTTGGTCATCAATAGAGTCCAAGGCAGCTTTAATTTCATCTTCCAAAGGAGTGGTATTTAGATTCAAATTTTAGACATAATATTTGCAATCAGAGAATATATCCATCTTGATTTGAGCTCTAGAAGGATTAAAGATACTTCGAAAGTAATTTACAACATCTTAGGCAATATTCTCAGCATTAGTCAGCACATGGCCAGCAGAATCCTGAATAGATAAAATCAAATTATTTTTCCTTTTGAAGTTAATGCAAGCATGGTAATAACTTAAGTTTCTATCTCCTTCCATAAATTTGGTAACAACAACTTTCTGCTTCAGAAAACATTCAGTGTAACTGATATGGAGTAACAACTCTTCATTAGCTTTATGGAGGTCAACTTCAAAAATCAAACCCCTTTGGAAACTGTCTTCCATGCTAATCACTTTACTTTGAGCTTTAATCAAGTTCCCACGTATGTTACCATAAGTGTCTCTATTCCACTTCCTCAGCTTAGAAACCACCTTCTTCTGGAGTTTCCACAGATTTATCCAGAGATTAGTATCATCTTCAGACCTCCAAAGCTTACCTACTACTTCCACAAATTGAGGGTGGAGGGTCCACATGTTCTGAAACCTAAAAGGAGCTTTAAATGGGCTTTCAACATTTTGGATTGTGCACAGGAGGGGCCTATGGTCAGAATCTGCCATAGTCAAATGAGAAATGACAGTGAATGGGAATGTTTGAACCCATTTTGAGTTACCAAGCATTCTGTCAAGTCTTTCCCACATGGAACTCCTTCTCCAAGTAAAGTCAGGACCGTAATACCCCAAATCAAATATTTCAACATCAGAAAAAAAGTCATTGAATCTATTCATGGCAGAAGCAATAGGTGGCCTACAACCTCTTCTTTCAGAAGGAGAAGAGATACAGTTTAAATCACCACCCAAAATCCAAAAAGATTTCAGACACTGACCAATTTGAGTTAACTTAGTCCATAAGGTGGATTGATTAAAGACAATACTGCTAGCATAAATGAAGGTGGCATATCCAATATGAGCACCAATATGAAATTGGATGTGAATAAATTAGGAATGATTTAACAGCATAGACTACTGAAGTTCAACTCTAGCAAAAAGCCAAATTTTATTATTAATATTGGAGAAATGATCAAATTGAGGGAAATTTTTCTGAATTTTATGGGAATTTTTAGTAACCAATGGTTCAAGGATGGCAAAACACCACACTTTATGAATTCACACCAAATTTTTTAATCTCTTTAGAGAGGAGGGGTGAGCAATACCCCTAATATTCCAAACAAGGAAATTAATCATTGAGAAAAGGTCTTCCCTTTCCCCCCAGTCCTAGGAAGGTGATCCACATTAGAAGGTCCCTCAATAGGCTGTTTATTTTCAGCTTTACCTTTTTTCTTCTTATGGCTTCTTTGGACTTGCCAATCTTCTGTTAGAACATATGCCAGACTATTGATACTATGATATTGAACCCTAAAAGGGTTTATGTTTAATAAGGTGTCATCTTGTATTATCTTTTCCTTTAAATTATTGTTATTGCATCGTTCTTCCTCTTGCTCCCCAGCATTACTAGTTGGCATAATCTCAACTGTGTTATTTTCCTCCACATCAGTAGTGTCAACACCCCCAGCCAACTCAACAGCTGTCCCAACTGGCTTGGAATTAATTGTTCTAGTCCCTGGAGCTCTCTTTTTATTTGGAGGGTGTAGTCTATAACACTTCTCCACACTATGTCCAAACATTTTACAATGTTGGCAATAGCCAGGGTTTTGTTCCACAACTATCTTCTGCTAGAAACTTCCTCAGTAGTTCCAATCCAAACTCTATCTATATCAGGCAAAGTAATGTCCCTCTCAACCAGGACTCTAGCTCCAGCTGGTCTGGCCACATTATATGTGGGGGCATCAATTTTCAGGGGGCAACGAAGCACTCTACTAATGCTGAATAGCACATTCTGACGGCGGAGGTTCCTTTATGGGATCAAACTCTGGAGTCCATTTCAATTAATGATCAAAGTATGTTTTGCAAACACCCTTGCATAATCTTCTTCATTAAATAAGGAAATCAGAAGGTGTCTTCCATCTAATAAACCCAGTCTCCAAGCTCCTGTAAGTTTCAAATCCATAAAGTACCTCCTTACCAAGTTCATCTTAGGATGGCCAAACTGAAACTTACCCACCAGAGTAAACTTAACTGCTTCATTAAGTTCATAGATTTCCTGGGGAGAAAATATGATGGCAGGTTCCCCTTTCTTCAAACCTAAAGGATTGACAAAGGGGCAAACCCCCCTCCCAGCAGCAGCATCATGGAGACTTTGTGGGAAAACCACGTGGTCAAAGGATTTAGGCATTTCAAAACTACATCCAACAACATCAGCAAAAGTTGCCTTGGTCCATTGGGCATTGGTATCATCCTCAATGGGGAAGGCCATTGAGGAAACACAACCCAAAGAACCCAAGATCTGTAAAAAGTTGAAAACAGTAGCAGGGCTCTAAAAGTAAAAGGAGCACAAAACAAAATAGCTACAGAAAGGATGAAAGGACCAATACAGCACCAAGGTCAATACTCCAAACAGAAAGATCAGAGAAAAGTAGTAACTTCAGCAAATCAATAGAGTAGTAATCCTGTTCAACAAAGATCATCCCGGGCAAGACCATAACAAACTCCACCAACCTCAAGCACCTGTTGAAAAGAAAGCAAGCTTCTTTATCCAGCACCACCACTACTCCAAGCAGCTCCATCACCTCCAAAACCCTAGCAGAGCGCAGCTAGGTCCAGCCGCCACCATCCTGTTTATATATATATATATATATAGTTTAGAAAAATATGAAATCAATTAGAGATAGATAGAGAGAGAGATGTAGATATCAATGTATACATTGATTACATACATACATACATACATAAATGCATATATAAATATGCTTACATATAGACATACATACATATATACATACATATGCTACTCAATTAATACATGTAACCTGATCTACATATACACAAGACAGGACTGTGGGGATTGATGCTATTATTAGTAAACAGGTTATGTTATGCCAAAATTGAAAAAAATTGATGGAAAATTATATGAGATGCATGAAACCAAACAATAAAACCATCCCAAAGCCAGAACAAACCAATTATAGGTAGTACCTGGTGGTAAAATGGATGTGGATGAACCTTGACCCAATGCTTATTCCAAATAAGAATGTTGGTATAAGACCGCAACCCTATGCTTAACGTGAGGAAAGAATCTTGGTACAATGGAAGACGCCACAAATGGGGTGGAAATCCACTTGATAAGTTGGGAAAGAACTCTTTGGGCGATGGCCTAGAGTTTGGTCGGAATCTTAAGGAAACCATGAGAGACAACCTGAATGCAAGTTTTTTTCCAGGAATCAAAAGTCCCTTTCTCATTTGAAGTAAGGCCTAGATATATGCTGAAGCTTACAAGAAAACAGAAAGGAAGATAAAATATTTTCTAAAACAAATGAAAAACTACATCAAGTTGGCATGCAAGCCATTATTAAACCGCAATAAAAATACAAAATATCGAGCCATAATAATATGACTTCTTTATCATTGAGCTTGGAATAAGTTGACAAATCTTTTATGGCTCTTTCTCTTTAGATCCCCAAGAATTGGCTTGAGTCCAAGCCTCCTAGACTAATTCATTAAGAGCTTCTTTCACCCTTTTTATACGATATCTACTAATTCGCCCACATGGAACTTGAATTAAATCTTCTTTTGAAGTCATGTCATTGTCATCCATGTCATCATATGCATCATTCCCCTCCTCTTAAAAAGAATATGTCCTCAAATTAGTGCCTGCATCAAAAGGACTTAATTCATTAACATTGAAAATGGCACTCACGTTATACTTACCTGGTAGATCCAGCTTGTAGACATTGTCGTTGATACGCTTAAGTACTTCGGAAGGACCGTCTCTTCTTGGAAGTAGTTTGGAATGCCTTTGTTATGAAAATCTTTCCATTCTCATGTGTAACCAAACCCAATCACCAATTTCAAAGATTATTTTTTGTCGCCCCTTGTTGGCATGCTTTTCATATTATTTTGTTCTTTGTTCAATATTCAGTTGTGCCTTCTCATGTATCTGCTTTACAAACTCAACCTTTTTCTTACCGTCCAAGTTAACATGCTCAGAAATAGGTAATCAAATTAAATCAAATGGCGTAAAAGTATTAAAACCATAAACAATTTTAAAAGGTGAAAATTTAGTAGTAGAATGAACAGCCTTATTATCAACAAACTCCACATGTGGTAAACAATCTTCCCATGTTTGATATTTTCCTTTATGATCGCCCTTAACAAATTAGACAAAGTCCTGTTTTCTACTTCAGTTTGACCATCGGTTTGTGGGTGACAAGTAGCAGAAAACAACAATTTGGTTCCTAACTTACACCATAAGGTCTTCTAAAAGTAACTCAAGGACTTAGGATCACTATCAGAAACAATTATTCTAGGCATACAGTGTAATCATATAATCTCCCTAAAAAATAAATCTGCAATATTAGAAGCATTATCAGTTTTGTGACATGGAAGAAAATGACCCATTTTTGGAAAATTGATCCACCACCAAAAAAATTAAATCTCTACCACATTTATTCATATGCAAACTTAACTCAAAGTCCATAGAAATATCAATCCAAGGTGCATTAGGAGTTGGTAAAGGAGTATACAAACCGTGGGGTTGCACTCGAGATTTAGCTTGTGGACATGTGACGCACCTACCACAAATCCTCTCGACATTCCACCTAATGTGTGGCCAATAAAAGGGTTCTTGTAAAATATATAAAGTCTTTGCAACTCCAAAATATCCCATTAATCCCTCTCTATGAGATTCCTATGCAAGCAATTCTCGCAAAAAACTTTTAGGCACACATAACTTACTTTCTCAAAATAGAAACCCATCAAGTTTAAAGAATTTACTGCAAGAAGTTTTATCACAAGCTTGATATTCATTAGAAAAATCAACATCATTAAGGTATAATTCATTAATTTGTTTAAAACCAAGTAACTTTGCATCAAGAGTAGAGAGTGATGCATACCTTCAAGAAAGAGCATCAACAAACATATTTTCCTTACCTTGTTTGTATCGAATGACATAAGGAAATGTCTCAATGAACTACACCCAATGAGCATGCCTTTTTTTAGCTTGTGTTGAGCTTTCAAGTGTTTCAAGTACTTATGATCAGTGTGAATCACGAACTCCTTAGATCAATGGTAGTGTTGCCAAGTTTCTAAGGCTCTAACCAATCCATACATCTCCTTGTCATAAGTTGGATAGTTTAAAGTGGGTCGACTCAACTTTTTGCTAAAAAATGTAATTGGTCTTTGCTTCTACATAAGAAAAACACGTATGGCAATACCTAAAGCATCACATTAAATTTTAAATGTTTTAAAAAAATCAAGTCAAAATAGGTGCGTGGGTAAGTTTTTCCTTGATCAATTAATATGCCTTTTTCTGTGCTTCTCCCCACTTGAACCCAATGTTCTTCTTCATTAATTCAGTGAGTGTTGCAGCTATGCTACAAAAGTTTTTCACAAATCGTTGGCAGAAACTAGCAAGTCCATGAAAACTACAAAACATTGCTTATACTAGTGGGATTAGGCCACTCATGTATAGCACATGCCTTTTCTTCATCAACCTATATACCCTGCACACTCAAAACAATTCCTAAAAGATAAAGTTTATTGGTGCAAAAGGTACACTTTTCCAAGCTACAAAAAAATTTTCTTTTCTCAAAACATCTAAAACAAGTTTTAAATGTTTAACATGATCCTTCATGTTTTTGTTATAAATCAGAATATCATCAAAATAGACCATA